TAAGGTCCTATTTCTTTACGAAGTAGCTGGCTACTTTTGGAAAAATCATTCAACATCTCTGTGCTCCTTTCTCTGCATTTGGAAAGTAGGAGTAATTACTGTAATCATAAGAATACTGTGATGATTTTAAAAGAAATGCATGCAACTAGAAAAATGTTAAAAGCCAGAGTTGTTTGTGCCAAATTATTTAGTACAAATGTTTTCATCATGGATAATTTCAAGCTTTAACCATTAACCTATGTCAGTAAAACTCCATTGATTATCACTGTGTCATACTAAGTTCCCAATAAGTGCTGGTTTCTTTTGTTACTAAGTCTGTAGTCCTTTTTTGTTTTATCAATGTGTGCTTTCATCACTTGCACAAATGATGAAAAGGAGGAAAGCTCAAGGAAGTGAATAAAGAGCATTCCAGCAAGCTAGGTTTGAGGAATCAGAATTGAGAAACAGAACAGAACACAGAAACAGAAGTTATTGGAAGGAAGAACACATTGTTAATTACATGAGCATGGTTAGAAAAGTTTGCAGCAAGAGGAGACATGGGAGAGGACAGAAGGTATATATAGCAAAAATCTATACATATTGAAATGAATTTATGATGACTAGCATTGATTTCTTGATATTGGCAGTGTACTTTGTTTCATTTTTGAAGAGGTGGAATTATTTTGGTTAAACTGAGTTGCCATTTGGGGGGCCAGGTCTGGGATGACAGGAAGACTGGTTGTATTTAATATTACATATATATCAGACAGAGAAACCATAAATGACTTAATGGATGAGATTACGATGAAACAGTGAAAATGGTTTTGTGAGGAAACCATATATGGCATACAATGAAAGGGAAGAATGAATGGGAAGCAGGAGCTACTTATTTAAGACAAATACTCTGAAGACATCTTCTCTGGGGGTGGTCATACTAAGAAGGACCTGGAAACAGAAAACAAGCCAGCCATGGAGGAGAGCAGAGATAGTTGAACTTTAGCAAAAGAATTACAAATTTGAAATCTCAAAGACAGAAAAGTCGCTAAGATTTTGCAACAATACCATATGAAGCATGGTCTGAACAGGGTTGCCCACTCAAAACCCACTTTTTAATCTGCAGTAAAGTAAGTGGTTGTTGAATCTAAGTAGATGGTATGATAACAACATGACAGGGTAAGTTCATGTCTGTTAAGTATAATAATTAAAAAATGCTGCATACATGTCCTCTTTATACTATAATAATTAACTTGTATTAAAATATTGAGCCATTTTAGGAGGGAAGGTAGTGCTTTCATGGACCATTGATAAATGACGTTGAAAATGTTGGCATCTAAAATACACAGAATTTTGAAATATCCAGTAAAATGACCTAAGAGTACAGAGAGAGGAAGGGAGGTACCAAGGTTAAATTCAAGCCTATTATATCACTGTCTACATTCCTTGTGGGGGAGGCACATTTTATGTGCTAGGAAGTTAATAACTATCAAAAGTATTTCTGTTTACTTAATGGTTCCAACCTGATTTCCAACAAGTTACAACCTGGAGGAAAAGAAGCTTAGGAGTCTCATTAAGATACTCTCTGATAATTTGGCATTCTTGAACATGTGCCTTTCTTTGTAGTCTTAGATCATTCTCTAGTCCATTACTGGGAGTTCTGCTTCCAGCCAGTGTTTGATCCCAGCACTTGGGAGACCAAGGAGGTAGGGAGATCATTGCTAGTTAATGCTGTTCCAACTTCACATAGTCAATGAGTTCCAGGACAGCCTAGGCTACAGAGTAAAACTCTATCTAAAAAGATGACAAAAAGGAAAGAGCAAAAAAGGAAGGAATACAGGGAAAATTTCTTCAAGTATGTTGAGAAATTACAAATGTCCAACATTGACACACTTCCCTTTCTCTTGTGCAGAGCCCTAGAGAGTTGAGACGGAACCCTGAAAGTTTTTCCCTGGTCTACTTGAATCTGATGTGAAAGGAAAGCAGGAAGGAAAGGTCATTCTCCATGGGACACAGAAGCAAGCCTGTGAGGGATTTGACTCTTTGCTGCCATCCTAGTGCTCAGTGTTTGCATTCCAAAAGGAAGGTCATGTGCCTCAGGTCTGTTGTAGGACTTGATTTCATAGAGCAATGCAGTGCCATGCTGTTAGAAATGCACGGGACTTAGAGTCACCAGTGCCAAGCTGGCTCTCAGGCTGGTTTGGGCTCCTATCAGAGGGAAAAGAATCCTTGTAGTCAATTTACCTCACAGAGCTTCCTTGTCCTCGTACAAAATAAAAAGAAGTGGGACCAGATAATTTGCTATGTAAGTCTGAAACCTGCTGGAATTCTAGAAAGAAAGAGGTAAAATAAACAAAAGAAGAAGAGAAAAGGAAAAAGAACACAGAAGGGTCCAAAGAACTTCTGAGACTACCTTTTGCCTTTCTGTTGGTGTCCCGCCTCTGCTTTTGTTCTTAGTCCACTAGTGTGTTTCCCTGTTGTTTGAGTATCTAGTCTACTACCTGCTACTATTCTGCTAATTGTTGGCCTTGCTAGAATCCTTGATTCCCCTGCTGTTCTCCATGTGCTTCTATGAGGGTTAATATAATGAAAATAGGACAGAATTCAGTGTGAAGTAACATTGACAACCGTAACGTGTCCATTTAACTTATTTTTATAGCACCTAGGCAATATTGTTAGTCTTAGCCAGTAGTTCACAGCTTTACAAAAGCATGCTTTCCCTGTCCATTTGGCCCATGCTCTCACCCTCTTTTAGGCCATTCCAAATCCCACCTAGTGTAATGATAATATATTATGAAAACAGATACGTAACAATTTCCTGTACAGCAGCCAGTTGTATATGCACTCTCTCCCTTAGCTTCTTTTTGCTGTGACTTAGCTATTCACAAAGAGAAGGCAATTCTGGAAATACATTCCCTTTGTTCTAAAGACATTGTGAACTGTTAATTCTTAACCCTTTGACAAGACTAGTGAAGTTGTTTTCTGTATCTTTTGCTTAGTCTGTCTTTATGCAGTGACCTAGGAATTCAAGTGTCAGTTTTCATTGTTGAATTGGATATTTATATAATTGGTATGCTTTTCATGTGTTATTTAATTCTGTATCATTTCTTATATTTGTATTAAAATACTGAGGTATTAAAGTGTTAACTAAATAAATATTTGATGTGTGACATTCCCTTGAGAAATATAGAAATAAAGAATAACACTTGGATTTTTCTCTCTGTATTTGAACCCCTCAGTTGACCTTTCTGCTCACTCACAAGTTCTTCATGGGTGTCTCTGATGTGGTCAGTGCGAGCTACTGTAGGTAGGTGTCTTTTGATGTGACGCTACTGGCTATGGAGTTTCTTAGGTGTGCCCTCATGGTTTTATTTTTAAATACCAGACGTTACACGCTGACTACCTTAGATGGCTTCATGCACAGTAGGCATCAGCATTCTGTCTTGCTGTGTCTCTGGTACCTCAGCTGAATCAGGTAAGATTCTGCTGCGTCAGGTAAGAGGAGTGAGAGCAACACTTTTCCAACATGTTGTTCTCAGGACCCACCCCCTCATCATTAATACATCATTGAGGACCACAAAGAGTTTCTATGCAAAATTAATTATATATCTTGATATCTATATTGAGATTGAAAAAATAAATTATAAAAGGAAGAACACATAAGCACATGGGAGCCATCAATGTTGTGAACATCACATATTATAGTTTTAGGTTAACTCCACAGCACACTTGTAAAATAATGAGAGTTAAAAGGACAAATAGTGACAATTATTGTAGTCACTAATCTGATTAAACAGGAAGGCCCACTCAGGCACTCTCTCAATTATTGCTAGGAGTCTTAGCTGGGGTCATCCTTGTGGATTCCTGAGAATTTCTCTAGCACCAGGGTTCTCCCTCACCCCATAATGAATCCCTCTATCAAGATACCTCTTTCATTGCTCTCCCATTCCATCCCTCCCCCATCTCAGTCCTCTTGATCCCTCATGTTCCCATCCCCCACCCCTCCCTTCTATCCCCCTTATAGTTTCCCCAAGAGATCTTAACTACTTTCCTTTCCTGGGATCCTCCATGTATGTCACTCTTAGAGTCCCCCTTTTTACCAAACTTCTTTGGGGTTGTGGATTGTAGCCTGGTTATCCTTTGCTTAACATCTAATGTCCACTTATGAGTGAGTACGTACTATGTTTGTCTTTCTGAGTCTGGGTTACCTCACTCAGGATCGTTTCCTCTACTTCCATCCACCTACCTGCAAATTTCATGATGTTATTATTTTTTTTCTGCTGAGTAATACTCCATTAAATAAATATACCACATTTTCTTTATCCATTCTTCAGGTACTGGGCATCAAGTTTGTTTCCATGTCCTGGATATTACAAATGATGCTGCTATAAACATAGTTGAGCAAATATTCTTGTGGTATGATTGTTCATCTCTTGAGTATTGCTGGGTCTGGCCTTTCCCTTTAATCAGATTACTGACTACCCTAATTGTCATCATAGGACCTACATCCAGTAACTGATAGAAGCAGATGCAGTGACTAACAGTCAATCACTGGGCTGAGCTCCTGGAATTCACTTGAAAAGAGGGAGGAGGGATCATATGAACAAGGAGGTCGAGAGGGGAACCACAGAGACAGCTTATTCAAACTAGTGGGAGCTCACAGATTATGGTCAGACAGCTAGGGAACCCATGTGGGACCAAACTAGACCCTTTGAATGTGGGTGACAGCTATGTAGCTTGATCTGTTTGGGGGGCCCCTGACAGTGGTACCAGGACCTACCCAGGTGCATAAACTGGCTTTCTGGAGCCCATTTCCTATGGTGAAATACCTTGCTCAACCTTGGTGCAGGAGGGAGGGGCTTGGTCCTGCCTCAACTTGGTATGCCAGACTTTGTTGACTCCCCAAGGAAGGACTTACCCTTCTGAGGAGTGAATAGGGATGGTAAAGGGGGAAGACAGGAGGTGAAAGGGTAGGGGGTGAGGGGAGAAAAGGAGGGAAGGGGAACTGGGGTTAGTATGTAAAATAAAAAAAATTTAATTAAAAGAGAGAAAAAAGAATAAACAGTACATTGGTGCTATTGTGAAAGTAATTTTCATTCAGAAGACCCATTGAAATGGTCTTGGAACAATGCTAAAGTACAGGTAATGCTGCTGTGTATGCCTTTCTTAAAGCAACTCCTTTCTACACAGCTATCTTCATCTTACCTAAGTTTTTCGTCATTAAGGACCTTTGCCTTCCTTGCAGGTCATCTTCCAAGTTCGAAAACTTCAGAGAGCCCCAAATTAATCTTTATGGTTTGTTAACAGTTCAATTTAAATCAACATGTTAAATGGCTTTTCAGTTGCCTAGCTGACATCCAGGCACTTGGAGCTAAGACAGGTGTGTTCAATGGAGACAGAAAATAAGCAGGATTAGAGAGAGAAATGACAAGAGAAGGGAGGGCAATGAAGAGCAAGCCTCCTTGTCTAAGGAAGCAAATGATCGTGGAGTGCCACACCATGTTTCTTCTCAGCAGGCTTCCTTCTAGTACCTCTCCTAGACCATCCCTCTCCCACCCATTCTGAAGGGTCAGCTATGAAGGCCTTTCTTTCTTTCTTTCTTTTTTTTTGTATTTATGAATTAGAAAGAATAGTTTGAACTTTGCATATTAAAGCAAACTTGGGAAAGTTGTGAACTTTTTAGTTCATGATAATTATGTCACACACATCCTTGCTAAAATTTTAGAAAATTTCCGTGGTGGTGGTAAGCCCATTCAGAACCGGGGGAAACAAAAGAACTCTGGTGCTGAGCTGAATCTGAAGGTGAGGCTTGGTTCTCCCACAAGTTAGTCACCGGCCCCTGAGAATGATTCATAAACATGGGCACAAAGAGAACAAAAGGTATGCTATTACTAGACACTGTAGGCTTTCTTTACATAGTAAGTTCCAGACCAGCCAGGGAAATGTAGCAATGCCTTTTCTCAAGCACAGCAAAGCAGGGCAAACTAAATTAAACTAAACTAAAAAGAAAAACCAAAACCAAACAAACAAACAAACAAACAAACAAGACCCCCCCCAAACAACATAGTTCTCTTGAAACAACTTTTTCCTCTAGATTTTCTTATCAAGACAAGGATTCCACTTTCCAAAGACACTTCCAAAATTATTTCCTCAGTATGCTTTAGTGTCATTTCTGGTCACTAGCATCTCTGACATTTTGCCAGTATTCAAGGTGCATTTCTACCCCAAAGTCCTGCTACTTGGACTCCCTGCTTAAAGTTTCTCCTATAGATTGCCTCACAGCCTTTCTGCTGACAAAATACCCTTCCTCCCTTCATGGGTTTTCCTTCACTGTTCACCTCCCTAGCTAGCATACCATACACGGTACATGTTTGTTCTATTTATTATCTGCTTCCCTCATTGTAAACATTGTGAGGAATACTTTGATTGGCTGGGGATATTGCTCAGCTGGTAAGGCACTTGCTTGTCTAGCATGTATAAAGCCTCAAATTCAATCCCCAACATTGCACAAGCCAGGTATGCAGCTGCACACCTGCAATCACAGAACCTAGGAGGTGGCAGTAGGCAGATGATAAATTCAAGGTCACCCTTGCCTACATAGCAAGTTCAAGACCAGTTTAAAATACTTAAAACCCTGTCTAAATCAAGTCAAACCAATCAGTCATCCAATAAATATTCCTTTAGTGAAGTTTTTTCATTCACAAATGATGTGAAGGAGGAGAAATTCCTACATCTTGGTCCTGGGGCATCCTTTCTATCCTATAGAGGCATATGTGACTAAATTTTCCAGTAGGGAATAACTTTAAAGACCTGGCAGTTATGGAGCTGGGGAGATGACTTAGTCAGTAAGGTTTTTATTGCACAAGCATAAGGACCTGAGTATCAGTCTCCAGCACCCATATTAAACCCATGTGCATTGGTGCATGCCTGTAATTCCAGTTCTGAGGCACCACTGGGTTCTCTGGATTATAATCAGGCACCACCATACCCAACTTTTGATGTGAGTGTTGGTATCCAGTTCAGGTCCTCTGTCAGTAGCCCCAGGGCTAGGAGGCAGACCAGAGGATCCCTGGGAGCTCTAGGATCAGTGAAAGACCCTGACATGTAGATAGATAGATAGATAGATAGATAGATAGATAGATAGATAGATAGATAGATACCTGAACACAGATAGACATCTGAACAACAAACACACACACACACACACACACACACACACACACACACACACACACACGGAGAGAGAGAGAGGCACACATGAAAAAAAGTACATGCACAATTGCAAAATCATATTCTGTTCCTGGCATTTATGGGCTGGTCACTAAATCCAATTAAAAACAGCGCTCAGTGGGTCCAGTATAAACAGAACTGCAGTAAGTCTGCTTCTCTGGACAGACTCAAGGTTCAAAGAATGGCTGGTGGAGCCTATAATGTTCATGTGCTGAGTAAATTCTTCCCGTGACCTCAAAACCCCCAACTGACACAGCACAGCCTCTTTTCCTCAGTGTCCTTTTCCAGCTCCTCAACACTAACACAGAGGCAGACTCAATGTAAGGAGGACACTCAAGGCCAGGCTGTAGGAACTGTGATCTGACTAAACAGAAAGAGAAACTCCTGGCTTTAGGAGATGATGAGATGCAGGCAGAACCAGTATGAGTTGGCATTTTTCTGTGCCGAGAAACAAAAGGGCAAGCAAAAGTTCAAAAACCCACTTATGTGAAGTTGGCTTTCCTGGCACAGTTTTGCAATGTTTCAGGATTTCTTTTCCTGTCACTGTAATAGAGCACTCTGACAAAAGCCAAAAGGGATCAGTGGCTTATAGTGGTCTGTGTGTGTGTTGAGGGGGGATTGGTAATGGGATCACAGCCATAGCAGCTAGAGGGAGCTGGTCATGTTACATCATGAAGCAGAACACACTCTTTGATTTGTCTGTCTTACACAATCCTGGATCCCTGCCCAGGGAATGGTCTTGACTCTGCTGAAGATGGGGTTTTCCACATCAATTAGTCCAAAGGAAACGACACTCACAGCCCATCTTCCAGATGATTCTACGTCCTGTCAAGCTGACATTAGCACCAACCTTCAAGTCTCAATAAGACCTTTTCCATGATGACCGTCATGTTTCAGATGATTTAATAGGATGTCACAACTGACCCCGAAGGTTCTTTCTCCAGACTCATATTACTAAACCAGAGGTAACTCCGTCAGGAGATGGCCAAAGGTCAAGTTTCTTTAATATTTTTCTTTATGATTCACGTTAGTCAAGAAATTAGAAAAGTCCCACTTATGAATGACAAAACCACATACAGTTTTAATGTGCTAGTCTTCACTTGTTTTTTAGCTAATAAATAAATAAGCAAACAAATAAATAAATTTGGAACTCAATAAAACAGAGCTCAGTTTTTCTGGGAGCAGCCATGCCTTTCCAGTCTAGTTGCAGAGTTGTGCTGAAACCCAGCTGCTCTGGCCAAGTTCTTCAGACACCACATGATTCTGGACATGGTTGCAGTGTTGTTTGTTTGGGACCTTGAGTCTTAGGCCAAAGCTCAAGTACTGGCCTCAGTAAGTTCCCATTTACCAGGTCTCAGTAAGTTTCCATTTCTCAGCCTAAAGCCATTTCTCAGGTGACCTCCTGCAGTCAAACTATGCACCAAAGGTAACCCATCTCTTAATGCTTCCTGCCTTTAACAATATTCTGCATTCCTCTGCCCACCCCACCCTCAGTGTCTTGCATTCCTCTGCCCCATCCCCCTACCTCATTCCCCTATATAAGGTTGTACGAAATCCTCAATAAATAGAGCTTGATTAGCCATGTTGTCTTGCTCCCATTCCTGTGTCTCCTGTCCCCCCAGGATAGCCCATGTTGACTTGTGCCGGCAGGTCGGAGCAGTTGTTATGATTCTTAAGTGGTCTGGTAGAGTCTGGTCTACGGCCCCAGCTCAGATAGAAAACCATTTCCTTCATTTATTTTATTTTATTTAAAAAATTTTATTTTTCATTTTACATACCAACCCCAGTTTCCCCTCCCTCTTCCCACACCCCATTCACTTCTCAGAGGGGTAAAGCCTTTCTTGGGGAGTCAACAAAGTCTGGCATACCAAGTTGAGACAGGACCAAGCATCTCTCCTTTGTGTCAAGGCTGAGCAAGGTATCCCACCATAGGGAATGGACTCCAAAGAACAGCTCATGCACTAGGGATAGGTCATGGTGACACTGCCAGCAAACCCCCTCCCTCATAACTATTACTCTCATTCAGAGGGTCTAGTTCAGTCTCATGCACGTTTCCCAGATGTCGGTCCATAGTCCATGAGCTCAACAAGTTCGAGTCAGTTGTCTTTGGGGTTTTCCCATCATAATCTTGACCTACCCTGTTCATGTGATGCTTCCTCCCTCTCTTTAACTGAACTCCAGGAGCTCAGCCCAGTGCTTGGCTGTGGATCACTGCATCTACTTCCATTAGTACTAGATAAAGGTTCTGTGGTGACAACTAGGATAGCCATTAATATGATTAAAGGGGAAGGCCTGTTTAGACACTCTCTTTACTATTGCTAGGAGTCTTATCTGGGGTATCCACGTGGATTCCTGAAAATTTCTCTAGCATTGGATTTCTCCCCAACCCTATAATGGTTCCCTCTATCAAGATATCTCTTTCATTGCTTTCCCCCTAGCTTGTAGTTCATATTACCATGCCATCATTTCCTTGACATTCCTCTGGAATCATAATTTAAAAGCCTTTCTTTCTTAAATTGCATTGGTCATGGTGTTTTATAACAGCAACAGAAAAGTAGCTAACACTGCAACTCCTTGGCCTTTATTCTTGGATCCCTTAATCATCACCCAATACAAAATCACTTGCCCCTTCTGCTCATTTTGAATACTTTCTACTCATTTTTAGCCATTGTTAGTGTGCTCATGAACACTAGAAGAAGGACCATTTCTTTCCTGAAGGAACTGATAGTCTCCTTTCTGATTGTAACCATAAAAATGTCTGTTTTCCTTCTTGCTTTGACTAGAGAGAATCTGAACACCTGAAAAATGCTATGAAGTACAGAAGGATAAAGTTACAAGGCATTGGGCCAAGCTCCTGGAGTACAATCGAAGTCAGGGAAGAATGAGAATATGAACAAAAGTCAGGACCATGATGGAGAAATTCACCGAATCAGGTGACCCAAGCTAGTGACTCAGGTCTGACAAATGGGGAACCTGCATAAGACCAAACTAGACTCGCTTCATATAGGTGACAGTGGTGCAGTTGGGACAATATATGAGGTCACTGGCAATGGGTCCAAGATCTAACACTAATTGTACAAACTGACTTAGTGGAGCCTATTCTATATGGAGAGATACCTTGCTCAGCCTAGACCCAGGGGTAAAGAGGTACCTTAGTTCTACCTCAAGAGATTATGGGACAGACTTAGTAGACTTCCTAGGGGAGGGCTTACCCCCTCCAAGGAGCAGATGGGAGGTGGGAGGGTGTGGGGGGAGCAGAAGGAGGGGAGGTGGAACTGTGATTGAAATGTAAAAAATAAATTAATAAAAAAATTACAAGGCATACAAGATACAGAAGAAAGAAATCTAATCCACTATACAGCTCAGTATCCAGAAAAGCCACTATGATCATTTTTGTCAAGTTTAAAAACGACATCTAATTTGTGAAATTGTATTCTTTATCACATTTGATATTAGAATGATCACTCTTTATTTGGTTCAATTTTTCACAATATATTACTTTTTAAAACTTAGTTTAGTCTGTGTGCATGTGTATTCATTCATGCCTCAGTGAACATGCAGAAGTCAGAGGATAATTTTGGAGAGTCAGCTCTATCCTTCTCTCATGAAGGTCCCAAACAGACATCACATTGGCAAACTTGGTGACAGGTGCTTCCTGGAAAAGAAAGGACAAACAAAACTTAACTTTTAAATCAGCTGACATGGTGACATTATGAGGCACGTCTAATCAAGCTGAGGTTTCATGACATAATCCCCACCCAGCTATGAGATTATCAAGATTATGAATTATTGGCTTCAGGAAGAAATTGCAAAGTATCATACACTGGTAACAAAAGCAGCCAATTTGTGTTGGGGGTTTTGCCATCTAAATCGGGCATAGTGTAGATTGCTGCTCACAAGGCAGCAACTGGTAACTTTACCAGTTATAAACCAGCAAACACATGGGGGAGGACCTAGGGCCTGCCTGGGATGATATGACAGACTCTGAAAATCCCTCATGGAAGGCCTTATACTCACTCCCTGGGGAGCGCAAGGGGGGTGGAGTGGAGTGGGGAGTTGGGGGGGTAGAGGGGTCGGGGGAGAAGGGGAGGGAGAGGGAACTGGGAGAAACATCATTTTAAAAGCTGTGGTTTTGTTATTTTAAACCTTTAAAGAATATCTCCAGGAAGTAGTACCTGAATTCTAGTTCGGTTATTAAACAATAGTTTGTACCACTATTTTGTAAAGTAAAGGGATAATAGAATAAGGCTGCATTTGACAGTTATTATAGATATATAAAAATATCATTCCTCCGTCAAATGTGGTGATGCAGCCTTGCAATCACGTGACTAGAAAGGTGGTGACAGGAGGATCAGGAGTTGAAGGTCACCCTTAGCTATTCAGAGATGAAAAATTCCCTGGGTTACACTAGATTCTGATGAAAGAAGAAAGAAAGAAAGAAAGAAAGAAAGAAAGAAAGAAAGAAAGAAAGAAAGAAAGAAAGAAAGAAAGAAAGGAAGGAAGGAAGGAAGAAAGAAGGGAGGGAGGAAGGGAGAGAAGGACGGAAGGAGAGAAGGAGGGAGGGACAGAGAGAAGGAGGGAGGATGGAGAGAGAGAGAGAGAGCAAGCTGGGGAGAAGAAAGAGGAAGAAGGAGGATGGAGCAAGGAGGAAGTTTCATTTGTCTCAGGGTTTCAGAATCATTTTAGCCCATCATCATGGAGATGACATGGCTGAGTGACTCCATGCATGGTGGTACCTACTATTCACATGGCAGTGAACCATAAAGAAGAGAGTTATCCTGAGGTCAGGGGAGGCTATAATCTTCAACGCATCCCTAGTGTGCTATAGCCATGGCCAGGACCCTACTCCTATAGTCTCCACAGTCTCAAACTGGGCACCAAGCATTTACAACCTGAATCTTTGGGAGACACTTGCATTGTATCCTATAGCATCCCTTCAAGAACTATTTCACTGGAGCTCAATGAAGCTGAGAGAATAAAAGAGGAAGCCAACTTGGGTGAACTGAGGAATGGTAGAATGAGCTAAAAAGAGATGTGCTTCTACTCTGAGGTCAAATCAGGAAACATAATAAAACTGCCTTTAGTCTCCGCCTCCATGTGGCTAGACATTCATGTCAAAAAATAGGTTGTTGTTCCTTAGTTTGTTCTAACAGATATGAACAAGGTATCCTACTTAGCTATAATGGTGTAAAATAAGACAGGATCCTTTCTCTAGAGAGGCTTGTCGCGTCTGCTGCGCGGCCTGTGTCCGAGAACGTGCGGAGGGTGTCAGGGATTGACAACACAGAGACTTGTTCAACGATGTAAAGAAAACTTTAAGCAGGCCCCAAAAAGGTTCAAGAAAACTTCCTAAGAAAGGCTCCCACCAGAGAAGCTTCTGCTCTCCTCTCTCCCCTGGCTGGTTCCGCTCTGACACCAAAAACTGATCTGGGCGTGGCAGAAGAGGCGGTTAGTCTTTGGACAAGGTCGAGCTCAGGGTGGTTTCTGTGGGCAGGCCTTTTCCAGGAACTTATTGCCCCCAGGCATTGTATTGTTTTTAGTAAACATGTTTTTAGTAAACATTGTCTTACAGCTGCCTACTCCCAGGCAGAAGGGGAAGTGGGTCTCTGCTCAAGGTCTGGTGTTCCCACAAGGCTCTGGGAGATTTCCACACCTTGGAACAGTGATGAAATATAGTATGGCTAGCAAATATTCCATGAAGTCAGACTAGCATGTGCAGAGGGAACAACTGTGAAACACTTGGTCTGGCTAAAGGGAAGACACATAGGGCATAGGGATATGGTGTCGGTAGGAACAGGACAGGGAGGGGAGGCTGTTGTGTACCAGAAGACCTTTGAGATAGAGGGAGTTTGTGTTGCTTCTTCATTCTAGTTTACAATGCATTGAAGTAACTTAAGATACACTCATTTAAACTGATTTATAGGTCTCACAGAGAGAAATCTGATTCCTTGGGGCTTGACATATTTTACTTGGGCCAGTGTAAACTGTATGTCAAACTCATACAGAGATTTCCTGGCTTTGCTAATGTTACACAACATGAAGGGAACAGGGGAATTGGATGCTATTTCTAGATTCTGTTGTTTTCCCACATTGAAGGATATACATTCCAACCCCCTACCCTACCCCCGCCCCCACTCAGATGACAGTAATACCACTGAACCAAAGGGACCTCCGGATATATCATATCTGACCTCCATATTTTGCACATTAATGACCAGAATTTACTCAAGGGTACGCATATACAGATAATGATGAGGTTTTAGGTTGCTGGGAAATTTTCTCAAGTGCCTTCATGCAGAATTGGGCGTGGAAAAGCAGCTGACATTTTGTAATAGTGTCTGTCGTCTGGGAGAATGCCCTACTTCAGAATCTTATAAATCAGACCAGAGGGTTATGTTCAGTACAACAGGTTGAGACAGATTACATAATCTCCATGCAGTTTTCTAACCTACTGCTTACAAATACCATTGCATCTACCCATGTAGTCTTTGCTCATAGAGCTTCCAGAGCTCTCCATATCTGCACTCTGCTCCCCGCTTTTCCTTGCCCTAGAGCTTACCAATTTAGCACTTTGCATTATACGAGTAAGTTAATGATAGTTCCCCACGCCTTTTCCTGAGACAGGGAGCAAAGTCGTCCTCTGTTAAAAAACAGGAAAAGGGAATGTTAACAACTAAGAAAGGGGAAAACAGAAATGAACACATTACAATATTATTTTGACATATGCTTGAAACACAATAGGTGTTCAGTAATGGTAATCATTTCCTCCTTTGTCTTACAAGAGAAGAGTTGAAAGATGCATTGAGACAAATTAAAGAAAATCCAGGGAAGAGGAAACAGATGTATTCTTTGGTGGTTGTAGTGGGTTTAATTGTCAAAGTATAGGTCCCCACTCTTGCCCCCAGAATCAATGAATATGACTTTTTTGGAAAATGGGTCATGTATGTAGAAATTAAGATAAGGCTCTTGAGATAAGGCCATCTTGGGATCTGAAAATGCTTTTTTTTAATTTTAGTTTTTTTTAAAATTTAGAGACACTTTTATTTACATATCCATCCCTCGTTCCCTCACTCTCCCATCCTTCCATGCTTTCCCACTGACCCCCCAATCCACCCCCACCCACTCCCCAGGGATAGTGAGACATTCACAGGGGATCATCAAAGTTTGAGGAGGGCCAAGGTCCTCCTTTCTGCATCTGGGCTGCAATAGTATCCCTCCATAGGGAATGGGCTCCCAAAGTCTATTTGTGAGCTAGGAATAAACACTGGCTCCTCTGTTAGAGGTTCCATAGACTGCCTTGGCCTCCTAGCTGGCACCCACATTCAGAGGGCTTGGTTCAGTCCAATGCTGGTTTCCCCACTTTAGGGCCCACGTGCTGTCTTCACTGGCCGGAATGGCTAAAATAAAAAACACTAATGACAATCTATGCTGGAGAGGATGTGGAGAAAGAGGAACACTCCTCCACTGGGAGTGCAAACTTATATAACCACTTTGGAAATCAGAATGACAGTTTCTCAGGAAAATGGGAATGAGTCTACCTCAAGATGCAGCAATTCCTCTTCTGGTCATATACCCAAAGAATGCACGTTCATACATCAAGGACATATGTTCAGCTATGTTCATTCCAGCCAGAACCTGGAAGCAACCTAGATGGACCTCAACTGAAGAGTGGATAGAGAAAATGTGGTACATTTACACAATGGAGTACTACTCAGCAGAAAAAAAAAACAATGGAATCTTGAAATTTACAGGCAAATGTATGGCACTAGAAGAAACCATCCTGAGTGAGGTAACCCAGTCACAAAAAGACAAGTATGGTATGTACTCACTCATATATGGTTTTCAGACATAGAACAAATGATTACCAGTCTACAATCCACACCACCAGAGAAGCCAGGAAACAAGGAGGACCCCAAGAGAAAAGAGCATGGTTCCCCAAAGAAAGGGAGGGGACAAGAACCTCTGAACAAATTGGCAGCATGGGGGAAGAGAGGAGAGCGATGGAAAGGGGATAAGGGGAGAACAGGAGGGCTGAGACGGGGGAGGAATAGAGGAGGGCAAGAAAGGAGATGCCTTGATAAAGGGAGCCAGTACAGGTTTGGAGAGAGGTCAGGCACAGAGGAAATGGTAGGGGATCCACAGGGGTGACCCCAACCAAGAATCTAGGCAGTGGTGGAGAGGCTGCATTTGATGCCCTTCCCCTATAATGAGATTGATGACTATCTTGGTTATTATTCCTAGAGCTGATCGAAGCAGAAACAGGCACCTACAGCTAAGCCATACTCACGGAATCCAGTTGCAGAGAGGGAGGAGAGATGAGCAAATGAACCAGACGGAACTGGAGGTACCTGCAGAAACAGTTGACCTGAAAATGCTTTAAGTCCAATGGAAGCAGGGATTGGAACAATAGAGTCATAAGCCAAAAATTGTCTGACTTCAACAAAAACTGAAACAGGCCAGGGACAGCTTTCTGGAGTGTTTGAGGAACTCAGACATGACAAAGCCTTGCTTGACTTCTGGTCTCCAGAATTTCAAGGTAATGCAATTCTGCTGTTTCAGAGCACCACATGTGTGACATTCCTAAGCCATAAAACAAATAACCTGGACAGAGGATGACCCTGTCTTAAACAAGCAAACAAACAATAAATAGTTCAGAATAATTACTGAAAGAGTAAATGAGCACACATCACATTAGAAGTTGATTGAGATACCCCCTTTTTGATGGGGGAAGTCCTTTTGTGTATATGTTGATGAATAAAGCACTGTTGGCCAATAGGGAAGCAAGATAGGTGGGACTAGGAGTCTAGGGGGATTCTGGGAAATGTAGTGAAGAAGGGTTACCATGTGATCCTGAGGAAGAAAGGACAGGTCAGGATGCTGTCCTCGGAAAGATAAGTCCTTATAGAAATATATATTAGTAATTATTGGTTAATAATTAAGTCAGAACTAGCCAATGAGAAGCCCTGGACATTAGCCTACAGCATTGTAACTAACAGAGTCCCTGTGTGTTATTTATATTTGCATATTTCTGAGCACAGTTGTCTTGACTAACTCCTCAGGAATCCCCAGATTTTATTCTCATTATTACATATTTGTTCATGGTTGGGTTAAGAATAATATAACTAAGTCCAAACACAAAGTCACTGTTGACCTGGCCTGGGAAACAGATAGAAGCAGCAGATATAGCTTCAGATCTGAGCGGCTATTTCCCTGAAGCTGATTCATTCATTGCTTCCACTGAAGTCCAGCCCATCCTTTTAATGCTCTCCTCAGTTCTTCCTCTTTTCCTCTGGAACTTGTCTATCCCCCTTCCCAGTGCCATCAAGCAGCCTGAGTATAGCTTTAGCTATTCTGAAACCTTGCACATTCAACATGATGAAGATGCCTGGTCAGCAGCCCAGGTCTCCCCCTGCTCAGTAAGAACTCCTAATGAATCCCTTGGAATATGCTTCCAGAAACTTGTTTAGCTTCTCATAGCTGAAGTCAAGTCCACAACATCTTGTGATTCCCTATAGAGGATTATTTTGGAGGCTACAGTTAGGCACTTAACAGTGGTACAATTCTACATAAATAAACATTGCTTTCTAAAATTCAGAAAATATGATAGATGAGATGGATTCAATTCCAGAGCAAAGGGACAAGGCATTATTTGTATAACCCAAATTCTCAACATGGCTACGTATAAGATGTAAACATCTGTAGCAGATGTTTTGTGTTTACACATGTTCTTCCTGCTCAAGCACAGGCTAAGCATCCTCTCCCCTCAACCCCCCCCTTTTCAGATTCCCCAGGCTCAAACGCCTTAGCACTTCTCCAGATTTATATTTTTGTATTTTATTTGTGTGGTCTTCCCTCAGTGACAAGTGAGACAAAAATATATATATGTTTTTTTTTCTGTTTATCACCAGTAGTTATCAGAACCAGGCACACAGACAGTGCTCAATAAATGTTTATAGACTGGAGTTACTCCAACCCTTAAAGACCCATAAATGAACTTAGATTGTTTATGTTATACACACTAGAAAAGACAGGCATCTGAGTCATATAATGTGATAAGGGCATGTACAGGTTTGTGAATTGCTCACAAAGTATGTGCTCTTAGTCATGACCTCTCTCAGTCATATTTCCTCTTCTGGTAATCTGAAAGAATATGAGGTGCTTAATTAAAATATAGCCTAATGATTTACTACCACACAACTTGATAGGTACTTCAGTATATATTCTAGTAGTTCAAGCATGTGAGGGGCAGCTAAATACTCAAATTTGCATGTTTTTTTCTATTTTGGATGATAGTCACGTGTTAGCCTATATTTTCATCTATAAAATGTTTAGATAATGTGTAGAGACCTTCCTATGGCTGAAGGATTAAGTAGGCATAATCACTTTTTTGTTTTTGATATAAGAAGAGCCATTTCTACATAAAATACAAAAAGCCATAGTTTAAAGAATTTTTAGGGGAGGGTTGAAGTGGGGAAGGAGAGGAGGGGAGGAAGAAGGAACTAGGATTGACATGTGAAGCAAACGTGTTTCTAATTTAAATTAAATTAAAGAAAAAGAAAAAAGAATGTGAGAAAAAATATGTATCTGTAGTTTCAGGTTGCTCTAGTACCTTTGTGGAGACTTACCCTTTTTTAAATACATTGTGATCCAAAAAAAGTTGAGACAATTTGTTTTCAGACTGATTCCTAATAAAGACAATTTCATTATCTATAAAAAAGAATTTTTAATTTGATCTGATGATAGAAATTATTTAAAAGAGAAAAGGAGGTAGGAAATTTGGGAGGAAAGTTTCTGCCTGGCCAGGGAAAGACAGAGAAGAAATATGTAAGATATGTCCCAGCAGTTGCTTACTAAAGATCAATACAGACCAAAAAGAGACAGGTGTTGTACATCCTGTCAATTGGGAAAATATGTCAAGATCATGGCAAAAATCTGAAAGGCTATCTCTCCCATTATAAGACCACAGACCTTTGAGGTAGTGTGGGATCAAGAAATGGGCCTGGTGTGATTTCTACAGGCTCCCTGAGCAAGGTCACCTTGGGACTTAACTGTGTTCTTTGCAGCACACTGCTCTTAGCCTTTCCAGATGTTAAAGAGGGCCTGGGTATCTCAGGCTACCACTCTAGAGGAAGCCAAACAGAGACCTTAGCACAAAGTCTATTCTCTAGTCTGCAAAAAAAGTGTAAGAGTGGTAGGGAGACCAAGACTTCAAAGAACCCCTGAAAAGACAGGCAGAGGCTTGTGTTACAGGAAGAACTGTCATAGGATAGTATCCAAGTAGTGCTCTTGAGCCTGTCTGCAGGTCCTACTAGGGGACAGCAAAGCCATCACACCGCAACACTAGCAGGGCAGAGCTAATGGTTTCAGTGTGCAAAGACAACACAACAGTCACTTGAACTGTCACCAGCAAGGCAAAGGAACCATGAGGCTCGCAACTTCTGGGACAATCACTAGTGCCAGTATCTGTGGACTGCCTGTGCTATAACACTGAGACTCAGTGTCTGTTCTGCTGAGTTTTGAAACTTTAGAGGACTATGACTTCTTTCTCTGGGTATAAGTGTATTTACACTGATTCTGCTCCACTATTTTATTTGCAAGGATGCATTTTGCTTGGTTTTGAATTGTGTTTTGCTAGGGGTTTTGTTTTGTCTTGCATCGTTTTGTTTTAGACAGGTTCATGGCTGGAAGGAGTTTGAGTACCAGAAGAGATTTTGAATTTGGAAATTTAATGATTGTGGGATAAGCTAAGACTTTGGGGCTATTGGTTTGAATGAAGACATTGTACATTAAGTTGGACATAAAGTTTGAAATGCAGGACTGATGACTAATCTTGATCTGTAATTCACTAAGAGACACACTTCTGGGTGTATCTTTGAGGACACTTCCAGGAAGAATTAAATGAAGGGAGAAACCTTCCTCCAAAATGGGAGGTATCTTTCATTGTGGAATGAGCAGTTACCACATTCTCTGCCTCTCTAACATCAGATGACTACTGTTGAACTACTCAGCCACACACACACACACACACACACACACACACACACATGTGCACATGCATACCAGTTCTGAGAAACATGCCTGGTTTGAATGTCAACTATCACCTAAAGATTCATCTGCTGTTTTGTTGGTTCCCAGTGTGGAGAGACTGAAGTAACCATTTTAGAGACTGAGACTACTAGAAGGTAATGAGGTTATGAGCACCCCTTCTAGAACAGATTAGTGCAACCTTACCAAACCAGAACATTAAAAAGTAGGCCACCTTCCCACATGCATATGGAATTTCCCTTTATATGTCACCATGCTGTAATGCAACCAGGAGAGAGAGGGACTTGCCCAATGTTATGTTTTTTAGATGTATAGTAACTAGTATCATGAGTCAAATAAATCTCTTTCCTTTTTAAAGTACACAACCACAATCACTTCATGATGGCAACACAAACCAGACTCAGAACTGTAGTACATATCCAGATGGGTCAGATTCAAAAGTCTTAACTCTTATTTTTTGTATACTCTGGCAAAAATGAAAAACCCTGTCTAAAAAATATTTTTAAGGTGAGACTGTTTCAAAACAATAACAAAACCATACTACCTTATGCCAGTCAATACAAGAAACCAGCACTGACTCCTAGAACATTTCTCTAGTCCAGACACTGCTCTTTATAAAGCTGTGTTAACCCTTTTGTGACCCTGGCTTCCACCATTTTTGTCTACTTTTTTATTTAATAAGTTACAATCATTTTTCATATCAATCTCCCCTATTCCCTCTCCCTCCCATCCTTCCATGCCCTCTAACTATCCCCCCAACCCACTCCAACCCACTCCCCAAGGACAGTGAGTCCTTCCATGGGAGATCCACAAAGTCTGTCACATCATTTTGGGGAGGGCCTAGGTCCTCCTCCATGTATCTGGGGTGAAATAGTATCCCTCCCTAGGGAATGGACTCCCAAAGTCCATTCGTGCACTAGGAATAAATACTGTTAGAGGTCCATAGACTGCCCAGGCCTCTTAACTGGCTCCCACATTCACAGGGTTTGGTTTTGTCCAATGCTGGTTCCCCAGCTTTACAACTGGGGTCTGTGAGCTCTCACTAAGTTGGGTCAGCTGGTTCTGTAGGTTTCTCCAGCATGGTATTCACTCATCCCTCCTCCCTCTCTACAGCTGGATTCCAGGAGGATGGCTCAGGTCTTAGCTGGCTTCCACCATTCTCTAACACTTGAAATCTTTTATTTCTCTTCTTGGAATTAACATCCAACTTAAGAAACCCTGATGAGTCCTCGATTTGCTTTCTAGAGTTTTCTATCTGTTGTACTGATGGGTTCTGGTGCCCACTGGAGGACAGTAGTCACTGAAACCACTTTTTTTCTTTGTCTCACAGGCTGATTATTGCAGGGGTGTAGTTCTCTCCTCCTCTCATCCTTAGAAGGTGCTTTCCTTTCCTATTCCATGGAAAGTCCCTTCTTTGGATCTCAAATAACTCAATGAGTTACCAACACCCCCTCATTGTTATGTAGTCCACCTACCTTCCCCAGGTCATTC